CAGCACCTCCAGATAAACATGGAGGCTGTTTGAAGGCCTGTCACAGTAACTCGTTTTGCTGGATGATAAATAATTGCGATAAACGATAATATTGCTGTTTTGACTCTATTTCCCAGTAATGACAAATATAATAGAATGACAATGATAATTAGTAGAAAGAGAAAAATGATAAATGACGCAACGGAAACAATTCAGTTTATCTTAATTTCAGGTTCTGATCCGGCCCGTCCAGCCCTACCTTTGCCTCAGAAGCAGCCATCTCTCTCTCCTCTCTCTCCAGCTTCATCACCGCTTCAACATCTTTCTCCAGTTTGCTGATCAGATCTCTGAACTTCAGGACCACCTCTGGAGGGGAAATAAACCGGGTTTCAGTCTGGTTCTGACCCGGCTCGGCCGGGGAACCGGACCACCCCCGGTGCTCACCTGTGGGCAGGACGCGGGCCTTCACGCTGTTCTTGGCCGACTTCACCACCTCCTTCAGCATCTTCCTCTCCGACTCTCCGACCAGAGACACGGAGCGGCCGGAGCGGCCGGCGCGCGCTGTGCGGCCGACCCGGTGGACGTAGTGCTTGGTGGTGGACGGCATGGTGAAGTTGATCACCTGGACAGCAGGCGGGAGCAGGTTCAGGATGCCGACCCGGTTCTGTTCCGGGTCCGGTCACACAACGAGCTGAAGCAGAACTCTCACCGTTTTCACGCCGTCGATGTCCAAACCTCGGGCCGCGACGTCGGTCGCCACCAAGATGTCGATTTGATCGTCTTTGAACCTCCTGCAGAACCGAGACGGACCAGAACATTCTGGATTTTTTTGGTTGACCAGCGTTTTGCAGCTTCCGTTTATTTGGACTTTTAGTTCAAGTCGACGACAGAGAATTAGGGCATTAATATTAGGAGAATGAAGTAATTAGTTTAGAAGAACTCATGAAAGCAGAAAGTCGAGCATCTGGTGAACTTATGTTAATCCATCAAATTATTTTCAGCAGGTTTTTCTCGAGATTTATCAGCTTCAAAAAAGAACAACGTGTCAGATTTTAATGACTCGAAGCTTTTCTTATTAAAACAGATTTTATTATTTTAAAATGTTCTGGTAAAATTGTGTTTTCATGCTGCTAATAACTATATTCTCGTGATTAAATGAAACTGCTAAAGTTCTCATTTCTTGATAGTTGATTCAAATCAGAAATCGTATCTGGAACGAACCGACCTGAAGACGTCGTTTCTAAGCCGAATGGTGCAGCCGTAATCTGGACTCGTCAGAACCCAGCAGAACCCACCTGAGGTTCTCCAGCCTCTGGTTCTGGCTCAGTTCTCCATGCAGCTCCCCGACCTTCAGGCCCAGCAGGCCCAGCAGGATGTGCAGCCGGTGGGCCTGCTTCCGGGTCTGGGTGAACACCATCACGTGGTCCTGGAAGGTCCGGGTCACCAGCGCTGGGAGCAGAACGTCCGGAGAGTCAGGGTCCGGCCCGGAGGACAACAGAACCTCGGCGGAACCCGGCTCGGCCCGTCCTACCTGCCACCACAGCCTCCCGGTCCCCTTCCCGGTGCGGTCGGATCCGAACGAACTCTTGCCGGAGGAACGGCGCCACGTCCGTGTTGCTGTTCACAAAGATCCTGATTGGCTGCTTCAGCGACACCGCCGCCAGGTCCTTTACCTGCAGGCAGAGAACCGGGTCACATGACCGGCGGTACCGGGTCGGTGGTACCGGGTCATGTGACCTGCGGTACCGGGTCGGTGGTACCGGGTCATGTGACCCATTGACATTCACGGCGTCTTGCTGGTTGTTCTTCTAATGAAACTGTAAACTAAATGAATGTTGGGATCTTTTCTGCCTGATTTTCCCACAGCAAAGGGAAAATCAGGCAGAAAAGCCGTAAACTTTTCAGTCGATCCTTTTTCTGTCGGCTGCGTTACGCGCAGACTTTGTTTCCATAGCAACTGCCAATAACACCACAGGATTCAATATTGAAAAACATGCAAACATTTTCCACACAGAAAAAAGAACATTCAGTGTGTTATAGTTTTATGTTTTCAGGCTTGAGGTTTACTGTATGATTATTAACAATCGATTAGCCACTGCTGCTATCAGCTAATCTACCAGAGCACCAGATTCACAATCGTTAGCTTTTTAATTAGCTGCTAATCCATCTAGTGATCTGCCAACTGGCTAGTGTTCATCAGCTTGGAAGTTAATGTGAAAGGTTTCTTTAAACTGAACTGAAACACCAAATTCCACAGCATTGTCAAAGTCAAGCTAGCCTGACTAGCTCACTTCCTTCTCCCTCACTATTTTGTTTCATTAAAACTTTTCCTGATTTGTCGTCTAGTTGTTGTAGTTGTCAACAAGCTGCAAAGCGCCCGACGACTGGACATCACGTGTCTGCCGTGTGTCACATGTTGCTATGGTAACACCGCTGCCCTGTGGCGTACCTCTTCGCTCATGGTGGCTGAGAACAGCATGGTCTGCCGGTTGTAGGAGCACAGCCTGATGATCTCCTTCATCTGCTCCTCAAAGTACTCGTCCAGCATCCTGTCAGAAGCACACGGAACCGGGCCGTTAGCGGCCAGGCTAGTGGCTAGGCTAGCAGCCAGGCTAGGGGCAAGGCTAGTGGCCAGGCTAGTGGCTACGCTAACGGCTAGGCTAGCGGCTAGTGGCCAGGCTAACGGCTAGGCTAGCGGCTAGGCTAGCGGCCAGGCAAGCGGCTAGGCTAGTGGCTAGGCTAGCGGCCAGGCTAGCAGCCAGGCTAGCGGCTAGGCTAGCGGCCAGGCTAGCGGCTAGGCTAGCAGCCAGGCTAGAGGCTAGGCTAGTGGCCAGGCTAGCGGCTAGGCTAGTGGCCAGGCTAGCGGCTAGGCTAGCGGCCAGGCTAACGGCTAGGCTAGCGGCTAGGCTAGCGGCCGGGCTGGTGGCCAGGCTAGCAGCCAGGCTAGCGGCTAGGCTAGCAGCAAGGCTAGTGGCTAGGCTAGTGGCCAGGCTAGCGGCTAGGCTAGCGGCCAGGCTAGCGGCTAGGCTAGCAGCCAGGCTAGAGGCTAGGCTAGTGGCCAGGCTAGCGGCTAGGCTAGTGGCCAGGCTAGCGGCTAGGCTAGCAGCCAGGCTAGCGGCTAGGCTAGCAGCCAGGCTAGCGGCTAGGCTAGCGGCTAGGCTAGGGGCCAGGCTAGCGGCTAGGCTAGCAGCCAGGCTAGGGGCAAGGCTAGCGGCCAGGCTAGTGGCTACGCTAACGGCTAGGCTAGCGGCTAGTGGCCAGGCTAACGGCTAGGCTAGCGGCTAGGCTAGCGGCCAGGCAAGCGGCTAGGCTAGTGGCTAGGCTAGCGGCCAGGCTAGCAGCCAGGCTAGCGGCTAGGCTAGCGGCCAGGCTAGCGGCTAGGCTAGCAGCCAGGCTAGAGGCTAGGCTAGTGGCCAGGCTAGCGGCTAGGCTAGTGGCCAGGCTAGCGGCTAGGCTAGCGGCCAGGCTAACGGCTAGGCTAGCGGCTAGGCTAGCGGCCGGGCTGGTGGCCAGGCTAGCAGCCAGGCTAGCGGCTAGGCTAGCAGCAAGGCTAGTGGCTAGGCTAGTGGCCAGGCTAGCGGCTAGGCTAGCGGCCAGGCTAGCGGCTAGGCTAGCAGCCAGGCTAGAGGCTAGGCTAGTGGCCAGGCTAGCGGCTAGGCTAGTGGCCAGGCTAGCGGCTAGGCTAGCAGCCAGGCTAGCGGCTAGGCTAGCAGCCAGGCTAGCGGCTAGGCTAGCGGCTAGGCTAGGGGCCAGGCTAGCGGCTAGGCTAGCAGCCAGGCTAGTGGTAAGGATAGCGGCTAGGCTAGCAGCCAGGCTAACGGCTAGGCTAGCGGCCAGGCTAGTGGCCTGGCTAGTGACCAGGCTAACGGCTAGGCTAGCGGCCAGGCTAGCGGCCAGGCTAACAGCTAGGCTAGCGGCCAGGCTAGCGGCCTGGCTAGCGGCCAGGCTAACGGCTAGGCTAGCGGCTAGGCTAGCGGCTAGGCTAGCGGCCAGGCTAACGGCTAGACTAGCGGCTAGGCTAGCGGCCAGGCTAGTGGCCAGGCTAACGGCTAGGCTAGGGGCCAGGTTAGCGGCTAGGCTAGTGGCTAGGCTAGCGGCCAGGCTAGCAGCCAGGCTAGTGGCTAGGCTAGCGGCCAGGCTAGCGGCTAGGCTAACGGCTAGGCTAGCGGCCAGGTTAGTGGCTAGGCTAGGGGCCAGGCTAGCGGCCAGGCTAGCGGCCGGGCTGGTGGCCAGGCTAGCAGCCAGGCTAGCGGCTAGGCTAACGGCTAGGCTAGCGGCCAGGCTAGTGGCCTGGCTAGTGTCCAGGCTAACGGCTAGGCTAGCGGCCAGGCTAGCGGCTAGGCTAACGGCTAGGCTAGCGGCTAGGCTAGGGACCAGGCTAGCAGCCAGGCTAGTGGCCAGGCTAGCGGCTAGGCTAGCGGCCAGGCTAGCGGCCAGGCTAACGGCTAGGCTAGCGGCCAGGCTAGTGGCTAGGCTAGGGGCCAGGCTAGCGGCCAGGCTAGCGGCCGGGGTGGTGGCCAGGCTAGCGGCCAGGCTAGTGGCTAGGCTAGGGGCCAGGCTAGCGGCTAGGCTAGCGGCCGGGCTGGTGGCCAGGCTAGTGGCTAGGCTAGGGGCCAGGCTAGCGGCTAGGCTAGCAGCCAGGCTAGTGGCTAGGCTAGTGGTTAGGCTAGCGGCTAGGCTAGCAGCCAGGCTAGCGGCCAGGCTAGCAGCCAGGCTAGCGGCCAGGCTAGTGGCCAGGCTAACGGCTAGGCTAGCGGCCAGGCTAGTGGCCAGGCTAGCGGCTAGGCTAGTAGCCAGGCTAGCGGCCAGGCTAGTGGCCTGGCTAGTGGCCAGGCTAACGGCTAGGCTAGCGGCCAGGCTAGTGGCCAGGCTAGCGGCTAGGCTAGTAGCCAGGCTAGCGGCCAGGCTAGCGGCTAGGCTAGTAGCCAGGCTAGCGGCCAGGCTAGCGGCTAGGCTAGTAGCCAGGCTAGCGGCCAGGCTAGTGGCCAGGCTAGCGGCTAGGCTAGTGGCCCGGTTCCGTCGGCCCATGGCGGCGCCCCCACCTGTCGGCCTCGTCCAGGATCAGGATCTCGATGTGGCTCAGCTCGAAGCTCGGCGTGTTGTGAAGGTGGTCGATCAGTCGGCCTGGTGTGGCGATCAGAACATCTGGACCCGCCCTCAGAGCCGCCTCCTGTGACTTCAGGTCCAAACCGCCTGCAGACGGCAACAGCGGCGGTCAGCCGGGACCAGAGGGCCTGAGCAACCTGAACCGGGTCGTTTCCATACCAACAGCCAGGCAGGTGGTGATGGAGGTGAACTGGGCCAGCTGGCGGGCCACCGAGTGGACCTGGATCCCCAGCTCTCTGGTCGGAACCAGAACCAGGACCCGGGTTACCTGGGACGTCCTGGGTTTGTAAACCAAGCGCTCCAACACCGGCAGCATGAAGGCGGCCGTCTTCCCTGAGGACAGAACCGGAAGAGAGTTTCACTGGTTCTGGTTCGGCTCCAGAGACCAGAACCATAGGCCGGGTCAAGGTTCAGTCAGAAAACCATCCATCCAACATCCATCAGTGTTTCATGTGTCCTGCTGGGGTGAACAGAACCAGAGAACAGAACCGGTCCCAGTACCGGTTCCGGTGGCAGCGCAGGCACACAGGTCTCTGCCCAGCAGCCCAACGGGAACGCAGGCCTTCTGGATCGGCGTCGGCTCCCTGAAGCCCAGAGCCGTGACGGCCTGCAGGAAGAGAACCACAGGGCAGGTGAGACCAGAACCAAAGCCGGATCCAGAACCAGATCCGGGTTCGTCGGGTCTCACCTTGAGGATGGGTCGGGACAGGTTCATCTCTTCGAACGTCAGCTGCTCATTGTACTGAGACGCGTCCTCCGAAAACGTCTCTGGAGCCTGAGCGCAGAGACAGACGTTACCATGGTAACACCTTCATCAGGACCGGCCTCTGCTCCTCTTCCTCACCTCCTCTGCGTCCTTCCTCTTCTCCCTCGCCGGCCTTTCTCCCTCAGAGTGTCTGACAGGAAACAGGAAGCAGGTTTGAAAAATCAAAGACCAACCAGAAGAAAATCTGATGAGTTCAGACCCAGTCAGAACCAGAACCTTCCAGAACCTTCCAGACGTACCTGATTTGGTCAGAACCTCTTCATCACTTGAGCCAAACTCCTCCTCTTCATCACCATCCTCTTCTTCGCCTGGCTCCTCCTCTTCCTCGTCCTCTTCCTCGTCCTTCACCTCTGAGGGACATTCAGTCGATTTCTCCTAAAGACAAAAGATGCAACTCACACAGGAAGTCGATAAACAGGAAGTAAATGAAAGCAGGAAGTAAATGAAAGCAGGAAGTAAATGAAAGCAGGAAGTAAATGAAAACAGGAAGTAAATGAAAGCAGGAAGTAAATGAAAACAGGAAGTAAATGAAAGCAGGAAGTAAATGAAAACAGGAAGTAAATGAAAACAGGAAATGACTCACCTCAGCTTTCCTCTTCTTCCTGACCTTCTCTATTTTCTGGTCCAAGGTCGTCACGGTTCTCTGTGAACACAGAACCGGGTCAGAACATTGTGTAAAGCAGCGGGTTCTGTTTGGTTCTGCTTGGTTCTGCTGGGTTCTACCTTCTTCTTGAGCTGTTTCAGGACGTCGCTCATGACCCAGTCGTCATCCAGACTCGGTCCATCTCTCTCTCCAAACTCGAAGTCACAGTTGAAGTCTGTTGACCTTTGACCTCCAAACTTCTTCTTCCGGTTCAAGACGATGGGCTCCTCCTGCAGAACATACAGATCTGGACCTGTCGGTTCTGATCCACTGTTTCTGTTCATCATCAGAACCTTTGGATCCAGACTCTGGGATTAAATGTGTTTTTAATCCAACTGAACTCATCAGAACCGGGATTACGGAGCGTTTCCATGGCAACTGCTGCCTCTCTGCTGCTCCTCCTGAACACATCGGAACCTCGAGGTCCAATTTTAACTGCACCAGAACCGAACCCTTCACACCTTGGATCAGGTTCGCGGTTCTGTTGGGCTTTGTTCCAGAACATTCAGCTGGCCGGATCCATTTCGTCAAAACCGGACAGATCCGAACCTCAGAGAGTCCAGTTGACCCAGCTGCGGTGCAACAATCAGTTTCATGTTTGGATCTGGACGGGCTTACCTCCGGTTCCGATTCAGTTGCCGGTTCGTCTGGACTCAGGTCCTCGTCCCGGATGGTTCCGATCAGACCCAGCTGCTCCAACATGGTCCTGAGCGTCTCTACCCGGTTCCGAGAGGCTCTACCCGGTTCCGAGAGGCTCTACCTGGTTCCGAGAGGCTCTACCTGGTTCCGAGAGGCTCTACCCGGTTCCGAGAGGTTCTACCCGGTTCCGAGAGGTTCTACCTGGTTCCGAGAGGCTCTACCTGGTTCCGAGAGGCTCTACCCGGTTCCGAGAGGCTCTACCCGGTTCCGAGAGGTTCTGCTGCTCTCAACACGCTTACACGTGTTTACGGAAGCCGGAAGTTGAAGCGTGTTTCCGGTTGGTGTCGCGATGCTTTGGCGCCCCCTGCCGCCGCGGGGCGGAGATGGTAGAACAAGAACCGGTCGGAACCGGGCCGGTTCGAGCTGCTTGGGCCCAGTAAAGAGTCAAAGTCATTTTCGTTTTGGGCCAAATCAAAACATCAGTAAATGTTTCAAATTAAATGATGTTACTTTTCAGTCCGTCCAGGATTTTGTGTGTTTTTATTTTTTGCAATAAAAAAAATCTGTTTGAATTATTTATTGCTGACAGTAAATGTGACTCTTTATTACTCGCTGTTTAGATCATGGATTATAATCTGACATCAATTAAGACTGAGGCAGCTGTTTAGTATAAGTAAGAAAGTTTTTGACAAATTTTGAGAAAAATCTACATAAACTCCAAATTGTTGGCACAAAGACGTGCAGCATTTTTTCATTTTGTCTGAATTTATACAGTAATCCAGACTGATTGATATAATTTGGCAATAAACAGATAAAAAATGCACTGATTTGATTGAAACCATAATATTTAAGTACACTTAGTGTTGAGTCTAGAATCGAGAGGGCCACATGAAAAGCTATGGAGGGCCGGATTTGGCCCACGGGCCTTCAGTTTGACACATGCGCTTTAGATGGTCCACAAAAATAACAAGATTAATTACATTTTACAAGCCAACAGGCAACAGTTACAATTTCACATGCTGAGGTGAGTTAAACGGACTAAAACGTTTCAACAATTCTTTATATGTCAATAAAAAACAGATTCCTGTCTGTAAACTGTAAAAATAATTTATCATAATAATTTATTTATTCTGACTACCAATCTATCCATTTTTCCCTAAAGAAATCTGACAGTAAAAAGCTAAACAGACGAACATAAAGCTGCAGTTTGTTACTTTTATAAAAACTTTTTTTACACAGTCGTTAAAAATGTCTCCATGTTGTGACAGTATAATATGAATCATGTATCTGTGAAAAGATTAGTCTCCTTCCTCAGTTACTGTTACCATCTGAAAAAATGTCAAAAGCAACCAATCAGCGCCAGGAGGCGGGACCTAGTGCTGTCAATCAGCTCATGTATGCGCTGATTGATGAAGGTGTTTGTCCACCTTCATCTTATCATCATCTGTTATATTGCAACAGAAAAACAAACAAACTCATTTATGGTTATTTTGTTGTTCATACAGAAATAATTTGTTTAACCAGAATCATAAAACATAAACTGCAGAATTTCACAGTTTAAATGTGATGCAGCGCCCAGTCAGTAGCAATAATCTCATTTCAATTTCATATTTTTATATGACTGTTTATATTTATAAAACATAATTAACATAAATTGAATATCATTCATCTGAGTGGATGAGAGAAACAAGAAGAGAATCAGGACAAGAAGCAAAATGTTGGTCTGATATTAGTTTAGAGAAAACTATATTTAGTGATGAAAATTATATTTAGCGATAATCTGCTGTTAAATGCAGCTTGTTTGATCGAGTCTAAAGCAGAACAGAGACCAGAACCGATCAGGAGAGACCAAATCCGATCAGGAGAGACCAGAACCGATCAGGAGAGACCAGAACCGATCAACAGAGACCAGAACCGATCAGGAGAGACCAGAACCGATCAACAGAGACCAGAACCGATCAGGAGAGACCAGATCCGATCAGGAGAGACCAGAACCGATCAACAGAGACCAGAACCGATCAGGAGAGACCAGAACCGATCAGGAGAGACCAGATCCGATCAACAGAGACCAGAACCGATCAGGAGAGACCAGAACCGATCAGGAGAGACCAGAACCGATCAACAGAGACCAGAACCGATCAGGAGAGACCAGAACCGATCAGGAGAGACCAGAACCGATCAACAGAGACCAGAACCGATCAGGAGAGACCAGAACCGATCAGGAGAGACCAGAACCGATCAACAGAGACCAGAACCGATCAGGAGAGACCAGATCCGATCAGGAGAGACCAGAACCGATCAACAGAGACCAGAACCGATCAGGAGAGACCAGAACCGATCAGGAGAGACCAGAACCGATCAACAGAGACCAGAACCGATCAGGAGAGACCAGATCCGATCAGGAGAGACCAGAACCGATCAACAGAGACCAGAACCGATCAGGAGAGACCAGAACCGATCAACAGAGACCAGAACCGATCAGGAGAGACCAGAACCGATCAACAGAGACCAGAACCCATCAGGAGAGACCAGAACCGATCAGGAGAGACCAGAACCGATCAGGAGAGACCAGAACCGATCAACAGAGACCAGAACCGATCAGGAGAGACCAGAACCGATCAGGAGAGACCAGAACCGATCAGGAGAGACCAGAACCGATCAACAGAGACCAGAACCGATCAGGAGAGACCAGAACCGATCAACAGAGACCAGAACCGATCAGGAGAGACCAGATCCGATCAGGAGAGACCAGAACCGATCAACAGAGACCAGAACCGATCAGGAGAGACCAGAACCGATAAGGAGAGACCAGAACCGGTCAACAGAGACCAGAACCGATCAGGAGAGACCAGAACCGATCAACAGAGACCAGAACCGATCAGGAGAGACCAGAACCGATCAACAGAGACCAGAACCCATCAGGAGAGACCAGAACCGATCAGGAGAGACCAGAACCGATCAGGAGAGACCAGAACCGATCAACAGAGACCAGAACCGATCAACAGAGACCAGAACCGATCAGGAGAGACCAGAACCGATCAGGAGAGACCAGAACCGATCAACAGAGACCAGAACCGATCAGGAGAGACCAGAACCGATCAACAGAGACCAGAACCGATCAGGAGAGACCAGATCCGATCAGGAGAGACCAGAACCGATCAACAGAGACCAGAACCGATCAGGAGAGACCAGAACCGATAAGGAGAGACCAGAACCGGTCAACAGAGACCAGAACCGATCAGGAGAGACCAGAACCGATCAACAGAGACCAGAACCGATCAGGAGAGACCAGAACCGATAAGGAGAGACCAGAACCGGTCAACAGAGACCAGAACCGATCAGGAGAGACCAGAACCGATCAACAGAGACCAGAACCGATCAGGAGAGACCAGAACCGATCAGGAGAGACCAGAACCGATCAACAGAGACCAGAACCGATCAACAGAGACCGGAACCGATCAGGAGAGACCAGAACCGATCAGGAGAGACCAGAACCGATCAACAGAGACCAGAACCGATCAGGAGAGACCAGAACCGATCAACAGAGACCAGAACCGATCAGGAGAGACCAGATCCGATCAGGAGAGACCAGAACCGATCAACAGAGACCAGAACCGATCAGGAGAGACCAGAACCGATCAGGAGAGACCAGAACCGATCAGGAGAGACCAGAACCGATCAGCAGAGACCAGAACCGATCAGGAGAGACCAGAACCGATCAGCAGAGACCAGAACCGATCAGCAGCCGTCTGGAAACAGTGTGGTAGTCAGAGACATGTATCCGTTTGGATTGACATTCTGACCTCAGGTGACAAAACCACATTTTCGCGTCACAAACTTAATCCAACCCCAGATGATGCTGCTGCATTTTATTACAACATTTTTATTGTTTTATTACAATATGTTCACTTGAATCCATTTTACCCACAATCAGTGATGTAGCTGAAAAATGGATATCAGAGCAACTTGCACATTTTCAGTTCTGGTTCTGACCCAAACATTCAACAGCAGAATGTGAGTTAGGCAGCCGCTGAGGGACCCCAAGGCACCAGGGGGCCCCCAAGAGCACCAAGCTAGCATGATAAAAAATAACATTAAATACAAACTAATTGCTTCTACACGTGGAAAAATGATTTCCATTATTTTCATAGTTGTTATATGAATATGGGTTAATCTCTGAAACAGATAAACTATTTACACATAAAATCTATTATCACACAAAATCGGTTCTGGTCTCTCCTGATCGGTTCTGGTCTCTGTTGACCGGTTCTGGTCTCTCCTGATCGGTTCTGGTCTCTGTTGACCGGTTCTGGTCTCTCCTGATCGGTTCTGGTCTCTGTTGATCGGTTCTGGTCTCTCCTGATCGGATCTGGTCTCTGTTGATCGGTTCTGGTCTCTCCTGATCGGTTCTGGTCTCTCCTGATCGGTTCTGGTCTCTCCTGATGGGTTCTGGTCTCTGTTGATCGGTTCTGGTCTCTCCTGATCGGTTCTGGTCTCTCCTGACCGGTTCTGGTCTCTGTTGACCGGTTCTGGTCTCTCCTGATCGGTTCTGGTCTCTCCTGACCGGTTCTGGTCTCTGTTGACCGGTTCTGGTCTCTCCTGATCGGTTCTGGTCTCTCCTGATCGGTTCTGGTCTTTGTTGACCGGTTCTGGTCTCTCCTGATCGGTTCTGGTCTCTGTTGACCGGTTCTGGTCTCTCCTGATCGGTTCTGGTCTCTGTTGATCGGTTCTGGTCTCTCCTGATCGGTTCTGGTCTCTCCTGATCGGTTCTGGTCTCTCCTGATGGGTTCTGGTCTCTGTTGATCGGTTCTGGTCTCTCCTGATCGGTTCTGGTCTCTGTTGATCGGTTCTGGTCTCTCCTGATCGGTTCTGGTCTCTCCTGACCGGTTCTGGTCTCTGTTGACCGGTTCTGGTCTCTCCTGATCGGTTCTGGTCTCTCCTGACCGGTTCTGGTCTCTGTTGACCGGTTCTGGTCTCTCCTGATCGGTTCTGGTCTCTCCTGATCGGTTCTGGTCTCTCCTGATCGGTTCTGGTCTCTGTTGATCGGTTCTGGTCTCTCCTGATCGGTTCTGGTCTCTCCTGATCGGTTCTGGTCTCTGTTGACCGGTTCTGGTCTCTCCTGATCAGTTCTGTCTCTGTTGATCGGTTCTGGTCTCTCCTGATCGGTTCTGGTCTCTGTTGATCGGTTCTGGTCTCTCCTGATCGGATCTGGTCTCTCCTGATCGGTTCTGGTCTCTGTTGATCGGTTCTGGTCTCTCCTGATCGGTTCTGGTCTCTGTTGATCGGTTCTGGTCTCTCCTGATCGGTTCTGGTCTCTGTTGATCGGTTCTGGTCTCTGTTGATCGGTTCTGGTCTCTGTTGATCGGT